TATTCAGTACCGTATAGTGCCAGTTTTACATTACAAATAAACCAAACTTAAGTAAAGTCACGTTCAGTAATATTCGTGCTAATTCAGATAGTGATTGCAGAGTTGGTTACCCACAAATTTACTTTAAACAAAATAATAGTTGTATAAATTTCGTTTACTTTAGGTAATATGTATATCTAAATGGGTTGGTTAGTTGCGCAATAACTTTGTCACAGCAAACAAGCATATGGTAAGCCGAAAATCTGAAAAAGATCTATCTGTCTACACTGAAACAGCATGGAAACATTTCTAGCATCAGGTAAGGACGATAAAAGTGGCGACTTTACAATAACTAGTCTCATAATCTAGTGGCATCTTAAAAATCTGTAGCAGGTGAATTTTCTCGTGACAACTTAAATTTTTGTGGAATAAAAAAGAACTTACTGGTTCAACATTTCTATATGTAAGCCTCGAACGCTGAGACGCTGTAAAGCCAATGATAGTTAGTTATCATATTGAAACGTACTTTGAATATCAATTAGACTTTCAAAAACAGCTGTTGGTGGTTTGTGACCACGAATAAGATCCAAAAACATATTAGATATCGAATAAGAAAACTGCACACTATCACGTAATTGTAGCATCGTCCTGATGGAAGAATCATCATCCAGTTCTGAATCACATCTGCTCAAAGCCAGGACGAAAGACAACAAAATCGCAGAAATTAAGATGGCCTTCATCTTCACCAGTTTTCAAGTGGTTCTAGCCCGTGTGCATAACCTAACAAGCGAATGATCAAAATAAAATCAAAAAGTGGGACCAAAATTAAGGTGTCCAATATCCAGTATCCAATGTCCCTATCACGATCTAGTACCAATTAAGTTGTGTTTTTCTATTTTTTCCTCGTCAGAAATTCCTAAGCCTCAGATGTTTTTATTGGTTTGTTCTGTTTCTTACCTGGCATAGTTTTGCAAGGTTATGTATGTGAAGACTTTTCACACGATGTGAACTTACAGAGACGTACTACTGAAATCAAAAGGCTCTCAGAAAGAAAAATATTTTCACCGGTTACCATTAAAATTCAGTGATAAAGAACCCAGTATAGTATCAGTTTGATTTTTGACTGCGAGCTTTGCTCAGTTGAGCAGACTACCAAAGCAATGGCTTCCGTACTCGGATGGCCACCTTAGTAAATTCATGATTGGCAGTCGGAAACTGATTTTCAATACATTTCACAGCAGTTCTAGTGACCTTTACATCTAGCTTATGATACGGATAATTTTGTCCCAGGTGGCTAAAGTTAGTAGGCTATGGGTAGCTTGTTCAATTTTTGGAGAACCTCATACAAACCGGTGAAAATTTCGCATTGTTCCCCACCCCAATTTAAAATCTGAATGGTGCCCCATCCCGGAAGAACATCTCCCCATAGGACTTCTTAGAACACCATCTTCGAGTTACAATGGAAAGAGGGAGATGTCTAGAAAGTTTAATACTCAAGTCACCACATTTGTACATGGTAAGCAATAATAAGATCATCTTCCCACCTACTATATAAAAAAAATATGTTCTGAGTCACAATCCTGTTGCGTAAAAGTGAAAAATGGTCTGTTCAAGACTCAAGCATGGACTCGCAACCTGTATAGAGTACTCAGTATTAGTAACTTAAGCGTTTTCTCATTTGAGCATTTAGGAACCTTGAGTAGCACCTATGAATTCAGAAATCCTTGGCCACATTGAAATACGACCCAGTTTTTAATGTGCAATGGAAAAAATTCTTATGATTTTCTGCTGCTTTACCGCAAGCAATCTTATCTATCTCAAGAGGCGTGATGAGTTAGAACCCGTACCCAGACCAATTACTGTACCATTCCTGGAATCAGTTTGTAAATTCCAGTGGTTCAGCTATTCGTCCAGAACCGCTTCTGACACTGCGTTTCTGCTTTGTCATAAATAATTCTACAAAATTTAGTATCATTCAATAATAATAGCGAGTAATTTCAGATAAATCCCTGCGAATATTCGTAATAGCAACCATCCTTGAATTTCGACAACAGAAACAGATTTCAACGGAGACGGTATTCCATTACTCCCGGCTTTACCATCATCAAGGCCGAAAACACTTACTGAGGAAACTCGAATGAAATGTTTTAAATAACGCTTGGATAAGATTCATGAAAACCAAACCAATCGTCAGGTAAATAACCTAGTTGCCTTAGGTGCGATTTCTTGCAGTGTGCATCAGTATATAGGAAGGACTGAATGCACTGAAACAAAGTTGTTGGCGTTGAGCGTTGAACTGTAGCGACGAAGAACGCCACCACCTGTATTTCCAGGTGAATAGTTTCACTATAAATAAAACTCCTATAATTTTAATATATACTTATCCTATCTATAGAGGACACACCAGTCGTACAGGCATGGATAAGTATTATTTACATTACATGAATTTGATTTATGGTGAAATTACATGGTTGCCGTCAATTCTGACATTCGTTTGTGAGTACAGTCTGCTAACTAGTCATTCAATGGAGCACATCAAGAAATATAGAAATATTGTCTTCGCATTAATCCTTTTTTACAACCATATTCCCCACCGAGCCATTTTCCATTTAGCAGTAGATTTAAGAATTCCTACCCTATTTCCCAACTTTAATCTGTGGGATGGGAAAATGTGGATTTACAAATGCAACACTTCAGTATCTATCACAGTGTGTTCTCAAATATAAAATGAAGTAATGGAGTTAGAAGGGTAGATTTCAGCAGACATTTCCTCAGAATCATAACTTCCAAATAATCAGAAAACAGCTCAGAAATTTAAAAACCAATACTGTTTCATTAAATGTTGGGTTGGGACCAACTGGGAGGTGATTTATCAGATTTTGCCCAGTTAAACTCATTATAGCATACCCTACTGATACGATATGGCTGAAAAAGAGTACATTAATGTCAACACTACCGTTCTAGATGAATTCTTTCAATTCTTCATTCAAGGGCTTTCAGTTAGATAACAAGATGGAAAATTCGGTTATTAACCATTATTTCCGAGCCGAAAGCATACCAAAACCAAAAGAAATTGGTGACCGAGAGTCCCGACCTACTTCTCGGCGTTATAACTGAAATGCTGATTAAGACACTAGTTAACTTTGCACTTGCAAACAACAATCCAGTATAGAAAACCACAATCAGATTTTTAAAAATTATTGTATCCCGGTTAACCAAGAGCACGTGTCTGAATTTTCCTTCAGTTTTCTTTCGATAACTAATTTCTTCGAAACAAATATGATTGGTTAAAATAATTCGCTATGACGTTGTGGCAGTAAATAATTCCCCAGAATTATTGACCACAGCAATCATCACTGAACATTGGATGCTGACCCTCACTATTTAAGTCGACTTGTTTAGCCGAAGTCTTCCGGTCAAGCATGCATTTCATTTGGTACTCCGTGGTGTCACGTTCGTGCACAATCACTAGCCAGCTAAGCATTCACCTCAGTCGACGATTTGGTCCCGAAATATATCTCGTAGTCTGAACGATCAAATAGTGTCTCTTGCTTTACCTTTGGTCCACGAGGAACTAATACTATAGATCTTGCGTAAGCATACTCCGTAAAATCCGCAAACGTCAATACCGTCAGCCTCTAAAACTTCTCTCATTGTACCATGGAGTTCAGTATCATTTGTAAAAACTTAGTTGTTATGTATGAGAAAAGTTAGTAAAAAATCCCGTGGCTGTTTACGCTTGCAAACGGCATGTCATAAGTGTGAAGCCAACATAACATGGGACAAAATATAACATTTTGTATTGAGATATCTTCACAGGAAATTGTGTTAAATCAACGGGTCACTTATGTTTCGCTGAATTGGTCTACATCAGTTCGTTCGTCTCTAACGTCTGAAACAAGAGAAATGTTGTGGTCAGGTGACAATTTAAAGTAAAAAGAACAGTGATACGTGACTATTTTGGTTTAGTGTATATCCTTCAATAGCTTGTAAACTGTGATCGTTGTTTAATCTTTCGAATGAAAGTGATAAGTTTCGCTTTTCAATTTTCGGGTGGTCATTAGGTGATTATTCAGGTTGGAGTCAGAATAACTAGCAGTTATTCTAGGTGAAGATGGAAAGCCGGAAGAGAACTGAATCTTTCCAGTAATTGAGAGACGTGACCTATCACAGTACACTCTTAAATGTACTGTATAGTTTAGAAGTGGTGTTCGCTTGAACAAAAGAGATGTACATAAGTGAAATTGACCATCAGTTGACCGGTATACGGCTGGCTGGATGAAGACTCTGAAACGTCTCAGGCGATGTTATTTTTTGTATTAGGTCTTTTAGTATATATGTCTGAACCTGCAGTATAATGTGGTTAGACCGCGTTAAGAATGTTGTCTCGTACTCACCGTTCTGTTCTTCGGAGATTCATTACATTGTCCTAACAATAATTGCTTGATGGGCTCATTGGGCTGGACGAAAACTGCCAGGGGATCACTCCATAAGGCAAAACAGATTGTTATTTTCTGCTCTTAGAACATGAGCTCTAATTTATTTAGAATGTTTAGAGAAAAGATCCGGTTGTTAAAGATTCAGTTATTGCCCGACTGCATTTTACCTTACATGATGTAATCAAAATTTTTTTTACAACTGACAACCGTTGTTGCAATTATATGGTCATACCAAATGTTAATTATAATAACAGAAGTTGTTGAGAAGAGTCAGTTTTAAAATATTTTTAAACTGTAATTGTTAAGCGAAATTCTAGGCCTACTTTTCATTGTAAAGAAAGCGGTTAGATAAATGTGTTTCGAACAGCCACTGATGTACATCAAGAAAAGAAGGTTTAGTTACCAAGTGATTTCAGCTGTCTCGTTAGAAATATACTGGATATGTGCCACTCTCGAATGAAATTTACAGTTGAAGGGGCAAGATATGTAATTCCACACCTTGAACTGTGTTTTTGTGCTAGATCAATAATCAACGACAGATATCTGAAGGTTTTGTTTCAGTTATTCAAATTGAAATTATTTGAAATGTGTATCTGTATTCGAGGTAAGTGCTAACTTTGTAGCCAGATGATTAAGGAACTCGGCTAACTTTAGGTCCGATATGATAAAATATTATTTTATACGAATTTTGCATTTTATTAACATTTTTGTGCCTAAAATCAACATTCCTTGATTCAAGTATTTCCCTCTCTTACATATTAGGGCGAATTATACTTTCGGGAGCTTTGCAGAATGTTCGTGGCTGTCTTAGGGGCCTTGTCCCACGTTCGTCTGTGCGCCCAAAGTTCTTTACCCCGACGATTGTGCAGTGCGCCCGCATAAAATGCTAGATGGGTATCCCTACCCAATATCGTTTTTACAGAGCTAGTATGGGCCAATTTGATTTTGTTGTGTTTGCTTCTTGGTTGTGAGATAACAGTTCTTGGTCTTCAGTACACTTCTGCGTAGTTCGTCTCATAACTCGACTTTCGTATTTTTTTGTCTTCAAAAGTAATGGTGCTTTGATTACTTGTACTTAGTACTTAGTTTTTGGAGACCGTGTTGCTGCCGTGAATAAAGTTGTTCTTTTCACCCGTTAGTCATCTGGTGTCGTCAAAAAGAGAGATAATATTAACAGATATCATTAGTTTAAGTGAATTTACACTAATTATAATTATAGTTACATGATTATGTAGACTAAAAAAAGAAAAAGAGTTAAAATGTGGAAACAGATATATTAATTTGTTTATTAGATGTATCATACTGTGAAACAGTATTATTTACTGGATGACGTTTCGAATACAATTTATTGTTCATAATGACATCAACAGACCTCTTATGAAATCTGAAATATATATATATTAGTGTTAGGTACGTAATGGTTGAGGTAGTCAGGAGAGTAAGACGAGAGAATCTGAAGTAAAACGATGAGTTTAGCTGTCTACCCATTAAAAGTGTATGATATTTTAAATGGATAGGCCATTTGAACTCAGTCCTTGTGTCGCTGCATGATTGTCTAACCTCCTCTTTAAGCTGTCCACGGACGGCACCTTGGCTGCTTCTGCCAGTAAAGAAGTCCGTGGGCGGCAAAGTCTCACTGAAAAGAATTGGAAGCGCACTCGAGTCTTTGCTCTCTGGTGAGCTATCCTTCGGGGATTCCCAAGGGGAAGCCCATATAAACTTATGACAGAACACCTTTTTTGAGTGATTCTGGTCATTTGTAATCAGTAATCAAGTCCACTCTATCTGACTGTAGCTAAGTGTAAAGAGACCTAATTTCCTTAGCCGCTCATCATATGGTTTGTTCTGGAGACCCATCACCCCTTTTGTCGCCCATCTTTGGGCTCTTTCCAGAACGTTCATGTCTCTTTTAGGCAGTAGGGGTGCGTTGATATTGTGCACTTCAAGATGTGGTCTGACGTATGTTTTGTACAACCTTAGAAATAGCTCAGGAATAAGTGCACCTAAATGTCTATGTGCAAAGTGTATCACCATATATGCCTTTGCCGGATCCCCTGTGTAATTCCCACTTCTGTCCATTTCTTTCATTATAACCAGACCTAAGTCACACTGCGACGTTGTGCAGGACAAGCTTTCGCTGCACAGGGTGTCATTTGCATTCTACAGCCTACAGGTGCGTAATTTCAATACACTGCACTTTTCCTGGTTGAAAGTCATACCAGTCACCATCGGCCAGTCTTCCAGAAGTCTTAGATCGGCCTGCAGCCTCTCTGAGTCTATAGAGCACTTTATTGCCCTTCAAATTTCTACGTCATCAGCGTATAGAAGAGTCGGTCAGCTTAGACGGCATGGTAGATCATTGATAAAAATCAAAGACATCAGTGGTCCTAGGATGGAACCCTGAGACACTCCGGATGACGAGCTGTGCCAAGATGATCGGACTCGATTGACCTTAGTTCAGAATTTCCTTTCATCTGGGTCGTCTTTCAAACATGACAGAAGCGGCCCACCTATACCTGTCTGACTTATTTTGTGTAGGAGAAGGTCATGGTGAACTGTGTCAAATGCCTTCTGTCAAGGTGTCCCCTGATGTGATGTTCAATTATACTTTCCAGTACTTTTGATACCACTGAGAGTAGCGCTACCGGTCGATAACTGGTAGCATTTCGCCTATCCCCACGCTTGAAAATAGAAAAAAAGATAGCTATTTTCCATTCCCTTGGCAGTTTCCTTGGATCCACTGAGTGCTGGAACAGGTCGTGTAAGGGCCTACAGAAAGCTTCCGCGCTCTGTTTCAGAACAGATGGCTTGATGTCATCATAACCTGGGGACTTCCCAGATGTGAGTCTCCGTAATTTCTCTAGTACCACTGCCAGCTTTATTTCGAGAGTAGCCACTAGGTTTTCCTTCGGTAAAATAGTAGTGCTTCCTTTTTGGTCTATACCGGTAATACACACATTGCTGTTTAACTGTTTGGCGAAGACTAAACTGAATATTTTAACCATTCCCAAACTAGTGAGATATTGACCATTTGAACGTTCTAAGACGCATGCCCCCACGGTTAGTTGGTTTCCTCTCTGGCATGAATCGGTTCAGGCTTTCGGGGTTCACCCGGACCCTTTTTAGAAAGGTTTGCTTTAAATGACCTCCTGTCACTCCTGACTCTTGTGTTGAACCAGTTTCTGAGTTCCAGGTATGCATTATAGTTGGTCTGACTCTTGGATATTCGCCACGTAGACCTAGCGTTGTGCTTTACTTGCAGAATACTCTGCGTAACTCTCTTCAGCCATGAGGACCTTTTCTTCGTCTGTGTTGTCACTAGAGGAACGGTATCTGAGATTGCTCTGTGAATAATCTCTTTTACCACTCCCAAAGTTTCATCCACGGATAACTCGGCTAGTCTATGGGCCATTCAGTGTCGGACAAAAGCCTCAGCATTCCAGCATAGTCCACCTTGTTATGGCACAGATATGCTTGCGTAGAGTCCCACTATAAGCGCCCACCAAGAACAAGATATAATCCTATGACTGAGGGGTCACCAATCACTAGGGGGGTCATGATTTGGACATTTTTGACAAGTAGCTGATTACTATTTGAAATAAAATCTAGTTTCGATAACTTTCCACTACGACGCCACCTAGTGTCGTCTTCAACATTCTCAGTCAGTCCTGTATTTCTAATGGTTTGTAGTAGATTTCGGTCGAATTTTCCCTGAGCATACCCCGACCCAAGGTTCAGGGGTGCAGCATTGAATTCTCCAGCTATAGTTATTTGATAATAGCCCAAGTCCCATATCCTTGTGATGGTGCTGAGCAGTAGTTGGTTATGATCTGTCCCACAGGTGGGTGGCCGGTAGAATAAACTCAGTAAATGCTTGGTATGGCCTACGGAAAAATAACACCATACAGAGTCTGGGAGTTCAGTGAGTGGTGTGTCCGTTGTACGTAGGCATTTAGGTCGCTTTTCAAAGTATATGGCAACCCCCTCCTTTTTTGTTATCCCTATCTCGCCTGACCATAACCACATCACTTATACTGATTTTGTTGCCGGCAGCAGTGGGGGCTAGCCAAGCTTCAGTCAGGATTATTATTTTGAAATGTAGCTTTTTTTATAACCTAAATTGTCTGTGAAATATTGAGCACAAAATTCCGTGGAAAACGCGTTGAAATCCTCCTAAAAGTGTTCTGAAAGCTTGTCTGTATCATCTAGCTCATACAAGAAAAGTTTGAAAATACTTCTTTAAACGAAACTCTGCTTTGCAAATCACCCACTATCTTGTTAACGTTAAATTTCAGCGCGGTTCATTATTTCTTAGAGTAAATACGAAAACCGAAGGCGAAATATGGTACCCTGAAGTTTTTCAATATTCTGAATTCCATGGTAATATAACGAAAGTTCGTCTCAGTTAAACCTACGGAGACTTGTGCCACATCATATTGTTAGCGTATGATGGCAGTTGCATATTGATTGAATACTTATCAGACACTTCCTCATTATTTCTGAATTTATTTCAACGTATATCTTAAGTAGTTCTTTCATAGAAGAGAAGAACTAGGACACAACTCAAAGTCGTTGTTTTGAAACTTTTACTTTGTTTGGTTAGTGGGATATCATGGCAAATCAAAGGAGTGTACACAGAAGATATCAAGTCAGTGATGTAAAAAATAAAAAGGGGAGCAATACGACTACAGTATATGAATAACAATAATATTTACAATATAACTAATTGCTCAAAACACGAAACACATCTTAAAATATCAAACGGAAGTAAAATAAACAGACCCTTAGATTAGTTCCGGCCATGCGAGCCAGATAAAATAATTGCTGAAGTTTCTGTGGTTGAGAAAGTCATGCGGATAGTCATTTGAGATGTGCAACAAACAGCCGACTTGAAGCATGAAACACACGATAAATGAAAACGGTCTATATTTACGTCACAAAGGTGTAAAAGCATATACATGTACGGAAAATCTCAATAAATGAGTGTGGCAATATGAACCAATTCTCTTTTGTGCAAAGTTATGGTGGACCAGACTATATAGTCGAAGGAAAATACTTATGTCCGTTTTATCAAAAGGCCGCACTTCTTGACCTATTGAATGGAAGCGAGTAACTATATATGGCGATCAGTATGTTTTACATAGAGACACAAGTAACCAAAAAGACTTGAAATGTTTAAAATTTATAATAATAATAACAATTTGCTTTATTCCAAAACAGTGCTTGTGATACAGAATGGAATTCTCAGCATTTTTACTACAGTATTACATCCAGTTAGTACATTATCAATAAATAGAATTCTACATAGATTAAGGAAATCTCATTATAATAAAGGTTTTTGTATTTCCCAATGAATGAAACACAAAACGATATTGTTTTTTACTGACGTTTCGCTATTTAATGCTAATAGCTTTATCAAAGTATTATGAGGAAATCTCAGTTCATTATGACAACAATATATTGGCATGTTTTTTTTTTTTGATTTACAGCTTGATTCCACACCGTATTTTCAGTACAAGTGTGGAATTTTCAGCATGGATATCGGTTGCCCAAATTCAGGCATACCATAGATATCGAGTGTGCGCCGGCAGGGGCTCGAACCCC